TGCTTACGCTGCACAATCAAAAACAAGAAATTTTCCATTATCTTAAGAAAAATTGCATGTGAAAGCAATCCATGTTTGTTTATCAGATGGGTTAAAAGGTGAGAAAAGTCGAAGTGGCCTGAAACAAACCTTGCAAGGTGAAAATGAAAAAAAAACATATAGGGTGTTACAGAAAATATGCTTTGACTCGGTTAATTGTTTCGACTTTCAACGAAATTAAGGAATATTTTATTCAGACCATTTCTAGAAAATTTTAATCTCGGGAGACCGATCAATGGATCTTCGTAATCCTCGAATGAACGCGCCCAGCACTCGCCTATCCTGATTTAATATTGCCTGTGAATCGCTCACTAAAAGACTGACGTGACTAAAGTGTTGTGATGCTGAAAGCTTATTGATCATTAATTACGCGTGGCGATTTATCCCGCACCACAAAGTCGAACCAAATTCAATTGAAGCAGTCTAAATGATGTTATTAATAATTCCATACACCATTATTAAAATTCAGCTTTAAACTCATAAATTGTCAATATTGTATTAACCGAAAACTATTCGAGATCATTTTATGCACAGTCGGAGCATTCGGAGCCTTGCACTGATACGAGCAGTCTGGTTTGTATTAATTTGACGTGTGCAATTTTTAGGCACTAGAGAAGAATATCGCTTTTCGAATTTAGCCCTTTTATAAAAAAAATTTGGAAAAATCGAAAAAATGGGAACAATTTGAACATATTGGAACAGAAAACGCTTTTCAATACATACATGTGCAAAAAAAAGTAATATGATGAATTTTGCAGAGCAAAAACACATTTTATGGCAGAATAAAATGCATTAACTCTCTAAATTCCAAAATTTTACATCAAGTGACATTTGAAACAAAAATATCCAGAAGCTAAATGCTTTTCCAATACTTAATTTAGTATGAAAATTATGTAAGCTGAGAAATATTCAGATCAAAGTAACACTTTTTTGCTATAGAAAATGTACACTAGCCTTACAAACTGTGACCTAAAGTGAAATTTGAACAAAAACGAGAATCTGCGCTAAACGCCAAAATTGAAATTTTTTTTATGAATTGTGGCAGTACACCTTCAAAAAGTCACCTTGGTATTTGTTCCGCAGATTAAGCGCATTGTATTTTTGATTGAGAAATGTAATTCAAAATAAGAGATTGTAAAAATTGTCGATAGATCCGAACCTGTAAGTCTCTTTTTGCAACAACCTCTTGCGCAGCATATTGTATGTAACCAAGGAAATGATACAATGTTTCAAATTCATAGGATATAGTTTGCAAAACCGTAAGTCCCAATAATTTTGATGGCCACAGTTCGGAGTTTTTCAAATTTGCTTCAAATTCTTCAAATTTTGTAATTCTAATTGTATTTCCTTGGAACTTTCAAACAAAGATCAGTGAAAGTTTACTTTTTCTGATTATTTTCCTATTTTATCTGTCATTTCTAAGAATCTAGGAACAAAAACAATTGACACGGATATTTTATTTAGTGAGAAAGTAAATAAACGAACGTAATGTAGTTATTCTAAATTTCTTTGGCATTCTTATTTTTCTAATGTCGAAACTCTAATGTCGAATTTCGTGGGCATTCTTCTTGGGCATTTTTTTTTTCGCTAAGAAATACACAGAATCCTATTATTTAATAAACAATCAAATTTTCTTTCGACCATTGAAACAAAGATTTTTCTATTACTCACAGGAGAAAGCATTCCTCTCAAGCTGTTGACAAAAAACTTGTAGGAAGAAAAGAGAGACCTACATTCAACAAACTTGCAAGTACTTCAACCCAGTCTAAACTTTTAGACTTCATTGGACTTTTGTAATTGAAAAAGAAACAGGTGGTCACCATCACTGCCAGAGGGGCAGTAATAAAACTGTTACACGAAAGACACCCTGGACAAATCGGAATGAAATTTCTCTCGGAATATGTCTAATCTGGAATCACAAAAAAAGGCTCCAACTGAATTAAAGAAGGTAAAAACATCATATTTTTAGATTCTTCATCAAACGTTTATTTTTTACCACCATTAACCGGGCTTCACCGGTCCCTTGAATACTAGTTTGGGCACCCAGAAACTTTTTTTGTAACAGTGTAACAGTAGATTTTCGAAGTTTTTTTCAGCAATAGTGAGTTCACGTACTTTTCCATTTCTTCAAGATAACATCCATCTTCAATTCATTGCAAAAAAGTTAGAGTAGACCAGTTATGTCACGTTTTCCAAACGATTTTGGATTCGAAGACCATCGATATTACATTTTGTGAGTTCGGAGACCACCAGTCCCCTCGATTGGTAGAAAAACTTGTACAAACAGTCAAAACAGTTTTTCTGGCTTTGTAATTAGCTAGAAACTTAAGCTAGAGTTTCTATGAATTCGGCTATTTTTCTAATAAAGAATGCTTTAGACATAATCATCGAAAAACTAAGCAATACAATTTAATCGAAAATAAATTGCAGTTAGTAGAGAAAAAAAGTCTACTGTTTGAAACAATAATTAAATTTTCTAGCTAAAAAGTACTAAAAAATCAGATGATGCCTTCTGAAATAGGATTTTTTAGGGGATTAAAAGAACTTTTCCATGTTGTCTCTGAAGTCTCTCAGCAGGTGCACTTCAAATCCAAAAAATGAGACAGCTAGACCTATGACAGAGACAATAATAGAAATCGTGTTAACTACATCGGGATCAAATTGTCAAAAAATCATCTAATCAGAGGGAAAAAGGAAAAAAAAACAAGCAAAAGTCTCATTTTCAACAAGCACGAATCCTGTCAAAGTTTTAGAAGTCATTTAGCAGAGGGTAGCAGATATTTGAAGATTATCAGAGGTAGCAGATATTTGTTATTTTATTCTTCGGTGTTGAGTGACTAGGAATGGATTGTTAGTGGTTTTCCTTGCAGTGACATCGCAGAAAACGTATTATTTCAGAACTTGGAACTTCAAAATTCCTTTAAATGTGATACTACTAGATCGCCTAAACTTATTAACTTTTATATTAAGGATAAGGAGTATTTTCAGATTTATGTAAAGATAATGGCATGCAGATCGATACAAGGCATCCGAAGGAATGGCAAATCTCCATCAAACCAGCGATCTGCATAGACAGCCAAACCAGGCATAGGAAACTTGAAAGACGTCTACAAGACCTCCTTTCAACGGAAAACAACACTGGACCTCACTCGGCCGAGTTGGAATATATGTACCGTACATTTAGTAATCCGTCAGAGCAGTTGATTTTTATATTTTATAATTCTTTCGTACCGTTCCAATCAAATTCACTTTAAATTTAATTAGTTTTCCAAGCGCTTAATCGCGCTTTATTCATACACGTTTTTTTACCGGGCGTCCGATGAAAATGGTATATGAAAATTCTGGTTAAGAGTTCTGTTGGTTGCTGCTTGACTGGGCAAGCATAACTGAACTGCTTTTTCGTCTAATGCTTCCTGGAGACAAGTGGCAATTAAACTGCTTTTAACAGGTACCATTTGTTGCTTGCCCTCTTTTTTTCGTTTGATGCATGATTTTGTTCGCTTCAACTTTTCCCGCGTCTAACATCGTGGCTTTGCTCGTTTTTGGTAGATACCAGTTCATCTCCAGCTGTTACAGCGAGCATTCGGCCTTTGTCGGAACTGTATCCCGCGCATCTCTAGTGTTCAGTTGTTTTTATTGTTTGCTTTTCCTGAAGTCGTGTCCGTCAATAATCAGCGTTCGTTTGTTTCTTTGAGACATTCCCCATGTTGTTTGACTCATAATAGTTAAGTTGTATGTTTGCACAGAAAAGATTTAAGCATTGACACAAAATTAAAAAAATTAGTGTTTTTTCTGTTTCAAGAGCGTTAATTGCGGATTATTGTCCAAATTTTGCGTTTCATTGATAAAAATTATGGCTTAGATGACACTTGAGGCTCAATTCAAACAATTTTTTTAGTCAAAACAAGTTCAGTTTGCCATTAGCACTTGCTGGTTTTAAACATTAATCGATTTGAACATCAAATAAATAACTAGAAGTGTTATTGTGGGACAAAACGGCAAAGGACTAGTTGTCATATGGGGCAAGTTGGCATAGGACAACTTTTCATATAGGGCAATTTAGTATACGGCAAGCTGGCATAGGGCTGTCTGACCTTTAACAGTACTGTCTGGTCTAGTACTGTATGACCTTTACCGCATACACTCCGCTTGATCGGTCGTACTATTTGTTGTTGATCGTATTTATCACAACAATTGTTATTCAGCCTTAATTTTAATTATTTTCAAGTTAAATTTATTTTGCATTTTAGGGGGTAAACTATTTTAACATTTTCTTACTAATCCAACCTGTGCATTTGTAGTCATCATTAATTGTAGTATAATTTTCAGGATAGCGCCATAAAAGTTTTCAGAATATTTTTATCTTATCGCGCTATGGCAATAATTTGAACTTAGCTGCGAAAACTTCAATCTAAACTGCCATAAATTGCTTTCGAAACTTTCTTTCCTTAGTTTAAAACAAAACTGGCTATTATTGACAGTTTTGGATTTTATTGGTGTCCATCTTAAATATGAGCCCAGTTTTACATTCACATTGCGGGACGTAACTAGCGTTGAGCGTTCTCTCGGGGGGAGTCGGGACGGCAGACGTTTGCTGTACCATTTTTAGGCCTGCCAAATTGATTTTCCGAGCTCTCTATTGATTTTCTGAGCTCTCTAAGACACTAGCGAGTTCACATTTTTGCAAAAACAAAATCAGCGGTACATGCAGCTCTTTGAAAAAAATTTGCCAAAACTGCCGTTTTTCAGCATCTTCTGGAAAACATTGGGTTAAAGAGTCAAATTCTTGAGCTGGAGGAGGAATAGATTTCAGTTCATTTGGCCTGAATTAACTTGCTTATTGGACTTTTTTCTTCGACGCCGTTTTAATCAAATTACTTTTTACTGATTGAGTTTTTAATATCTTCTTCTGACTAATTAATAAGGTTTAGCGAAAGATTTCATAACAAAGTATGACTAACCGCTGAAGACAGACGATGATTCTGCAAACTGTGCCTAACGGCACTCCAACCTCCTCCGAATCCAGTTCTCTTTCTCAACTTCGGGGGCACCAAGGGAAGGGGCGTGGCCACTTCAGACAAAGACTCACCCTGATGATTAGTCTGTTCACAATCGCCCAATTTTTCTCCTCCCCCATCGCACGCTGCGTTCATTACCTGCGTTCGATTGCCCACCTGGCTGATGGTCACATGATTGTTCGCGTGGTTACTCACGTGACCATGACTGGTTGCTCCGACTGAATTTTGAGAGCTATCGAGGGATAGATTATTAGATAATGTTGTTTCGGTCATACAGCGCTGGGTGCAGTCGTAATAGTTTTGCACCGAGGCGGATTTTGTCAAGTTTTGAGATTTTAATGGCGCTAACTGTGAATGTTGGGACGTATTTTGGGATAACAAGGCCGCCTTGCTATCTCTGTGATAAAGCAGATTCCCTGCATTAGTCTTACTCAAATAACCGCCACTTCTGGAATATTGCATACTTAACAGTACTTAACAGACAAATCCTCCCTGCGGTCCAAATGGCTGAAATTTACAATAAGAAGTCAAAAGTTGGATCCAAGTCTGGAATTAAAAGATCCAAAACATACGTAACTTAACACTCGCTTTTGTCTTGATCTATTGAAGTCCCCTTCACGTTTTTTTTAAAGTAAAGCTTGGAATCATTTTTCCACAGTTATAAGCCTCTTTCAGTTTATAAATTCACAATATTTGGTAACCTAACAAACTTTTATTAACTTTAACTGGTGTCGCAGTGGCATGTTCAAAATGTTACTCCATTAAAATCCAGATGTTCCCCCGCATAGTACGAAATTTAACTCCAAAGTATGCCAATTTTAGTCAAAAAGATAGCTTGAACAGATAACTAGCCGCTTAGTTGAAAATTGCTTTTAAAGTGAACATTTTCATTTCAGATGGGCGATAAAGGAGGAATTAAATTGGCAAATTGGGTCAAATGCTTTGCAAAATAAATAAGTCGGCCGATATTTCAGATCAAAAGAAAAAGTAAATCTTGAAGGTAATATTTCAATTGAATTCTTCACGCGTCGTAATCCTAAAACAGCACATATCTGAAAATAACTCAAGATTTCTGATCTAAAATTCACTTAAGAAAGTAACACTGCACCGTAAATTGCTACTATTTTTTCTTTAGTCAAAATACGGAATAATTATGCACGACCTTTAAGCTTAAAGTAGGAATATATTATACGAACAACCGATTATAATAATGATTTCTATGAAAGAAAAAATAGCTGTAATTATGTAAAAGTGCCACTTTGAAAACGATTTCCTGCCACAAAAGAGGAAAAATTATGTTTTTTTTTATAAATTGTGCGAGCATTCGGCGTCAAATTTTCTTCACCGCGAGGGAAAAGTTAATGCTTATAAATCAATAGACAAAATTCTCTCAAATTTGTAGCTAAAATTAGTTCAATAGACTAGTATTTTCTAAAAACTCAGCTTTTTATAACTCAAATACGGGAGGCTGGGATTCTGAGTTGGGGAGAGGGGTGGTCGTCTTAGTTTTGACTGCCGTTTTTTAGGGGAATACCCGTTGCTGTTGATTGCTTACAGCCTCAAATTTTTTTGTCCGATCGAATTTAAAAATTGTGTGTGGGTCAGAAAATTTATGCAAAATAGGGGGGAGGGTGTCATTATATGTTTAGGCAGAGGCTTACATAAAACCAAGAAATGACCTATAAAAATTTTTATATTTTTTTTCTTAAAGACCTCCATTCCCCTGAAAATAATTTTCGATGCATACCACTGACAAAAAGCAATGAATAGTTTTCCCTAATTTGATTAAGTGTCCACTAGTCTAAATAAAGTTGTCAGTTTACTAAGTTGAAGGAAAAATTTTATTTTCTCTTTTGAGTTAGGACCGAGTTGGTTAACTCATAGAGTAATTTCGGATAGGGTACACCGTCTGCTCGTCACGCTATCTTATTTTCGGCCGGATAGATTCGTGCAACTTCTTAGTCTAATACCGATCCTAATCTTACTCTTATACTATCTAGTCTCAGGTTGTTTAACTAGTCTCTGCTAGGCTCAATAGATCTAGGGTATACTGGTTTATTGCGGCTGCTGAAGTGCTCGGGAGAGTCCAACTAATTTCTAAGTTAAATTCAAATCTCTCTGGTGCTGAAATTACAAGTAACTTCAGCACTTACAAATAAGTGGGTTGTTAGTTAGATGGATCATGATTGGTTAATATTAAATACTTTACATTGGTAAAATATCTAAATTATCCAATCATAAAATGTAGTTTAGATCAGGTTCCACCCATCCGGGTTTTACAGAATTTTTTAGAATAGTTCTTCTGCAATTCGAAGGATGGATGATGGACGTTGGTGTTTGGCGAACATCATATTTCTTTTGTTTCCTCTTTGTTAAAGAAATTCCAGGAAGCTGGAGTTAGAGACATAAGACGTTGTGTCTTCTAGTGACAACGACTAAGTCTTTGCAACAAACTCAAATCTGATTTCAGAATGGTTTGCTATGTCAGGTTTTTCTGTTCTGCGTGGAGATTGTGCGTGGAGGGGATGCCTGGTTACTCGGATCTGTACGTATACTTGAACATCGAGGTGGTCATTGGTCTAGTTCAATGAAGTCCTTTTCTGCGAAGTCAAGTCGTACTCTAAATCCTTTGAGTTGTGATTGTGAGTGGCATATCGATTGTGGTTGGTCATTCTCTCTCGAGTGTAGTGGGGTCGTTTTGTCTTTAGATGTTCGTCCTTGGTGTTGTATTCTGATCTATGTATTGCATAATGTAATTTACATTTTATAAAACATTTATTAGTTTAATATTTTTTAATTATGATTTTAGTTAGTTGTTTTCACAAAAGCTTTTTGTTTTAGTTCGGTTATTTTGAAGAGTTACTCACACTTGAGTAGCTCTTATTAAAAATAGAGGTGTGGTCACAAAGCGTGGATGTAGCGCGGTGGGTTAGGCCGGCTATAGAGCATGCTCAGGACGTCCTTCCTGGTGGGTTAGGCCAGGAGTGGGAGTATGATTTCATGCGGTTTTTGTGAGGGGTCCTGTTATGTGACAACGTTTTATGTTGGGTTTGTTGTGGTTTTTCTTATGTCTTGTTGGTTATGTCCTTTTTCCAAAAAGCAAATTGTTCGTGGTATGGGTTTGTCTTTCGACTTTTTTGTGTTTTATTATTTCTTTCTTAGACTTTATAATAGTCTTCAAAAGAATAAATTATCCAGTTTTAAACTGGGTTAATCCGGTTTGGGTACCGTTGGTTTCCTTTTCTTAGTCATGCTGTTATTCTATGATTTGTGGTATTTAGTAAGCTGCGTTGGTTAGTTTTGTTTAGTATATGATTCCTTTCCAACCGGGTTAAAGGAAGGTTTGAAACATGTTATTATATGTTAGAGTTGTTTAGTGTGAAAACTTGAAACTGAAATTCATTATTTTAAACAATTCTTCGTGGGCGAGCTGTGCGAGTGTGGATAGAATTTCTGTGCGAATGAATGAGAATATCAAAAGGTTAGTACTGCATTTGCTTCTTATTAATTTATTGCATAGAATTTGGAAATTTACTGCTAGTTATGGGGGAATTTTAAGTTACAAATTTTCATCATAATTAGATTTACTGCTTGTGGGGAAAATTTTAGAAATGAATTTACTGCATTGGTATTAAATTTATAAATTTATAAGTGTAAGAGATTAATAGAATTGTTGAAATCTGTTTGATGAAATTTGCGATCTTTATTTGTTTTTTGTGGTTTTTGTAGGTGATCGTCGGATGAAGACTAAAAATCTAAAGAAAACATGGATAAAGAATGGTGAGTTTTTAATATTTTAATTAGTTAGTAATATTCATTTAATTCATACTTACCTGTTAGTCGTCGGGGAAAAAACCGTGGGGGAAGATGTCGTGGATGAGATCGGAATTTGTTAGTAGTTTAGCTAAGATGCGGATGATATTTTTAGTCTGAAGCAGTGGCCAAAGCAATTGAAGTGCCTTAATAGTGGTTAGTTCTTCAGTGCCAACTGCAAACTCATAAGGTGTGTTTTGGATTAGATTATATAATTTGTGATTGAATTTAGTGTTGTGGATGAATTCTAAAATTGGGATTTCTATGGGTTGTACAAACTCGTGCGGGATAAGGAAGGGTCGGGATTCTTCGGCGATGAAGGTCTTGGTGATGGGACAGGAGATGTACATTTGGGTTATGGGATCATAATTGCGAAGAATACCATGAAGGTTAGTATCTTTAATGCAATATGTGAAATTTAGGAAAAATGGTGAAGTGTATTTGGAATTAATGAATTGAAAGCGATGGTGTGGTTGTCTAGAGGGTGTGTGTAGGTCAAAGTGATTTTGGATGAAGCGGTAATAACTATATGTGTGGGTTTGTTTAGTGCGCAACATAATATCGTGTGAGCAGTGTAAATCTCTTTCGTGTGGTGCAAGGAAATGAAAGGTTAGTGAAAATATTTGTAAGCGTTCTTTAAAACTTTCGTATGCTTGTGTGTCTGTTAGTGCTTCTGAAATAATGTGATCAAACTTTCGGTCGAAGATGTTTAGTGTAAATATATATGGTGTCTTGATGAAAAATTTCTCGGTAATTTGTGGATTAGCGAAGCGATCGTCGTCTAAGAATTGATCTTGGTTAGCTCTGATGATGTTGTGATCATAGTATTCGAGTGTATATTCGTTAGCTCTAGGTGCAGTGTGTGTTTTTAGTGATTTTTTATATCCAACGTAAGTAAATTGTCTAGCGGTTAGTGGTGTAGTGAGTCGATATAGCATGTCCGTATTTCGCTCTATATCAATGTGAGTGTTAGATAAAGGTAAGCAAAGAGGGTTAGTAAAATGATAATATGAGGTCCAAGAGAGAGTGGGCATTAAAACGTATTCATCTACAAAGTTGCGTGTTTCGTTAGTGTCGTGGGGGGTGTTTAAGGTGTATTGTGGGAATGAGGGTAAGGTGATGGCTAAAAATTCTTTTGTGTTAGTATGCTTGGGGTGGTTGATGTATTCACGGGCTGTTCCTGGTTTTGCTGGGAAAGGATGGTTGGGGAACTTTCTTTTAAAAGTGCGGTAAGCTCTATTAGTGTTGAGTGAAGATTCAGTTGATGTGGATGATGGTGCTAATGATTCAGTATAATTTGAAGAGGGTGTAGGGGTAGGGGGGTTGGATGAATTTATTGTGGAGGAGATTTGGTTTATGGTTGGGGTATTAAGGTGGTAGGGTTGTTGTTGAAGGGTAATAAAATTATCTAGCTCTGGGGAGATTCGGGGGGTGTCTGGAGAATGAGATGATTGGTCAGAATGGTATGAGGAGTAGGTTGGGGTAACTTGGGAAGCATAAGAGGGTGTGGGAGTGATTGGGTCAGGGTTATTGGATAATATGGGTTGAAAAGGGGGTTGAGAAAATTTAGAAGAGTTATGAAAATTATTGGATGGGGATGGTTCTGAGTCGGCAAATTCATCGGGGGTTTCAATATTCGGGTTATTGAGTTGTGAGATGGAATATAAAACTGAGATGTGTGAATTAGTGTCGGAATTCATGCCTGATGTTACATTACTAGATGGAAAATCGGGTGGCGGAAAAGCAAAAAGTGGTATTATTGGGATTGGAGAGGTAAGATTGGTTGGGTGGGAATTTGATCGGTGTAGTGATCCAAGTTGGCGGCTCATCGTGGGCTAAAAAAATGATTATTTTGAGACTGAAAAGCGGTGGTATGGGGTTGTTCAATAATTTGTTCATAAGTATTATGGTCTTGTGACTGGTGTGTCATTATATGTTGGATGGGACTTTGTGATGTGGTGAGTTGAAAATTTGGATTATGTGTGATGGCTAAATTTCGAAAATTTCGTGGGGCTAGGGATAGTGGATGGTTATTTGGTAGGGGTGGTAATTGTGGTGCCGTTGGCGTTATGTCTACATTGTTATGTTCTTCGTCGTATGTATTTTGTCGTGTTGCTATTTTTGTGTTATATTCTTTTATTTGTGCGTCTAAAAGAATTTTGTTTATAGATGTAGAAAAGATTCCAAAAAATCCTGCAAAGAGTATGCGTGCTACGCTTGCTT